TATCTCTATATATGTCGACCTTCGTCTTTTATGGCAGGGCAAACCTGAAGAAAATGCCCAACTCTCCCTCACCTCTGAGGGCGCACTCCCAGCAAAGCCTTTCAAAATACTCAATTCTTTCTTCTTCCCCAAAGATGATACCAGATGCCTGGAGTACATATGACCCAGGAGGAAACGGCGGATTGAAGCATGTGCTGATTCATTCACCGCTTCTTCAAAGCAAAGGTATCTCATATCATCAAGGTCAAAAGCAAAAATATCTCATATCATGCTCTTTCCCTGTCTTTTTCTTTGTCCTTGTTCTTACTTGCATGGCAAAGTAAAAGAAGCAATCAGCCGGCACTTGGAGTCAGTCTACCGATCTGGAGCCAACTGCCCGGAATCTATTCCTGATTGCTTACCTAGCGTTGCTCTCGAGTAGTCATCTTCAACGGTTGATACACTTCCAGAGAAGGGACCACTCCTGCAAAGATTGAACAAAGAAACAGATAACAGGAGGAAGCTCAGACCTTCGGGGGAAACCAAAAGAACCATCCTGCTACCCAGTTCAAGAAGTAACACAAAGGAAAATCAACGATGGGCAGAAACCAGTTCAAGAGTAAGCCTGTGGAATCACAAAGATCAAAGCCTCAATGCAATCACCAAGGAGAAGAGGGAATTTACACTCCATAACCAGATTTGCGTCCCTAAACTCTTCTCTTTGTTAATTACATTATGCCATGTTTAAAATGTTTAGTTGCTTTTTGTGTGTTTACTTATGTTTTGTGTGAATCTATGCTTAAAACATTGAGGACAATGTTTGATTTAAGTGTGGGGGGGTAACTAAAGTGTTTTGATGCAAATTCGTAGGGTTTTATCCACCATAACTTCTAATGTTGTTCCTTGCTGTTTTAAGGTGTTTTAAAGTTGTTTTAGAGTGTTTTAGTGTGTTTTGTTTTATAATTCGAAAATCCCATAAAAATTTGAAAAATTGTTTTGAAAAACCCAAAAAGAGTTGTTTTAAAAGTCGTTTTTGTGTGTTTGTGTCTTAGGGTACCTTCCAACACAATGATAAGGATTTGGTTTATAATTGCATGACGGTTAGAAAGAGTTATAAACATAGAGAAAAGTTTGATTTACTCTTGGTATATGCTTGGTTATGGTTATAATGTATGACTTCACATGCAATCATAAAAGAAAAATTCGTTTTTGTAACATGCTTGAAGGAAGAAACTCAAACAAACGCTACATCCCTGTGAGACTCGAGCCATTACTTTCTTTGGAGAGTTATTTTCTGTGATTCTTTATTTTCTAAAGTTGTTGCATGATCTCATTATTCCTTGCTTGGTTGCTACTTAGAATGCAATTGTATCATGATAGAACTAAATGCTAGAACTCATGCCCATTTCATTCAAAGCATGTTATTGATTTGCATAACACATATTCAAGAAGAAGTTGTGTAGTGACCACCACCATAGCCAAATAGCCTTACTTCCCATACTTCGTATATGTTGTAAGTTTTAACCCCGTTGAGCCTTGTTTAGCCTTTATTCTTTGTTTACCCACATTTTCCTCACCTAGCCTAGTTTAGGACAATCCCCACCCTTGTTCTTAAAAGATAGTGAGCATGACTTAATTGAATTCCTTTTGAGTTACATTATGAAAGAAAATAAGTGTGGGGGAGAGAATGTTTAAGTGTTTATGTTTTGAGATTCAAAAGAAAAGAAAAAAAAAAGAAAAAAAAAAAAGAAAAAAAAAAAGAGAAAAGAAAGAAAGAAAGAAAAAAGAGCTTAAAAAAAAAAATGAAAATAAGTGAAAATGAACTCACGAGCGTTGATGGTTGAAGAAAGGGTCCAAAAAAAATGAATATGGCCCTAAGTTCTGTGTAATTCCCCCTTGGGTGATCAAAGTTGACTTCTGCATTCTAAAGGAAATTCTAAGTGCCTAATTCAATACTTTGCTCACTATTGCTTGAAGAACGTTTGTTATCCTTACCTTTCATTTTTAGCCAATTACCCCAAGCCCCGTTACAACCCTTGACTTCTATATTGAGTGTTATGTATTTCAATTGTGGAGTTTGAACTTGGTATGAGCTTATGGTGTCACTGGTTCTCGCGTCTAAGTAGTAGCATTCCATTCATGAGATCATATCTAAACATGCTTATTAACTCCAGAAAATGCTTTCCTTATTATAACATATGTGAGTGTTCGTCTACATGTTTACATCAATCTTCTCACATATACCTAGTGTAGGGTGTGTAGTCAGAAAATCTGTGTGAAAAACGAGAGTACATCTAGTAAGAAATTGAGGGAATTCTCTAAGGCATGTTACTACATTCAAAACATGGTTTTAAATGCTTAATTGTGAACTAGTATGTGGTGACTATGAGTAAGAATGTACTTAAGTGTAAAGATGGCTCAAATCTGTGAGAATAATGATTTTTAACTTGTCATGTGCATTGGAAGTCCCTGATACGATTGTTGGAAGGTGTAGGTTGTGTTTTGTTCTTTTTGTTTTGTTTTTCTGTTTTGCTCGAGGACTAGCAAAAGCTAAGTGTGGGGGTATTTGATAGGAGCATATTTATGCGACTTAAATGGCTTGTTCTTGTACATTTACGTTATGTTTCTTTAGTTATTTTAGTTCTTTATGCTTCTTTTGTGTGTTTTCAGGTTCTAAGGGCAAAGTATGCAAAAGGATGCCTTTTGGAGCCTTTTGGAGCAAATTAGAGATTGGAATGGATATCATATGCTTGGAGCCAAAAGGATGGACGAAATTGAAGACTTGAAGTAGGAAAGTTAAATCCTAAAAAGACCTCATGTTTGAGCATCATTGAAAACTCCTACGCATTTTAGAACACAAAAACAACATTCCTAGCAACCTTAGGACATTGTCGTGTGTTTCCTTGTGTCTCCCTTCCTTGCCATGCAAGGAAGGGTTTTGTTCCCTATTTTATATACTTAAACACTACCACTTATCATATCATACATTCATTTATCACTTATCATAATCATTCACTTATCACTTAACATATCATACACTTATCACTTATCACTCATAATCATCTACACATTTCAACCATTTAAACACATGTACTCCACCTACTTCACCTACAACATCCACCTACTTCACCTACAACATCCACCTACTTCACCAACCTCACACACTTACTTCACCTACAAATGACATAGCCATATGTTCCCTCCACTACTCCTATAAATACCCTTGCATTCATTCATTCAAAAACATCTCATTTTCATACACAACACACCACAAACACTTCCATTCCCTCATTGCCGTGAGTCCCCCTTCCCTTATAATCCAAACACCAATCCTCTTCCAATTACACCACTCCTCATCCACTTCCATACTTCCCCAATCCATTCAACACACCAACAACATTCCTTAGACCTTGTGCTACAATAAAGAGGAAGATAAGAGGGTCTAAACGTTCATACAATTCAAGTTTGAGTTGTTGGAATGTTTAGGCGTTTCTTTGATTTCAATGTTTAATTTCAATTCTCTTTGTTTTATACATATGAGGAACTAAACCCCCCTTAGCTAGGGGGTGATTCGAAATATATGTTTATGTTTGCATTTTGATTTGATTACTTCTAATTGCGTTTCATAAGTTGTGGATTCAATTTGTTTAACCATTTGATTGATAACTTATTTATGTATGTTTATTGAGAGTGCACACTTAATTTTCATGCATGAATATGACGCTAGAATACAAGTGAGTTTCACCTAATAGTTACGAACTTATATTCACAAGTAGTGGAGGTTGCTTATAAACAATCGCGTTAAACGAATTCTTGGCATAAGTTTCATGCGTATTCCATAGTAACGAATGCCTCGTCAAAACTTATAATCTTCATAGAGCGTAATGATTCTTGCTTGTATCTCTATTATGCAATCATGTAGGGGACTTGTAGGGAATGTTTTGGGTTGTCGTATGCAATCATCCAATTCAATAACGTTAGGAAGATTTGAAGGTTAATTTAAGCGGATCTAATTAACTTGGAGTGTTGAGAATTAATGATTTATTGAAACGCAATTGGAAATCATTTTATTATGCAAGTGTAACATGTGTGGAGATGAACCCCTTGGCTAGCATCCATTCATCCATACTTTCATCATATTCATATTTACATTCTGTCTAGTTTATTAACTTGTTTCGTTATTTCAATTTTCGTCAAGTCCTAAACCCCCCTTTACTTTCTTGTTCTTTAATGCTTAGAATCTGTTTAGTTTATGTTTTAAAGTATTTTTGAATTCTTTGAGTCTAGTATAGTGTTTTGTATTGTGTTTTTACGTTTTTGAGTCAGTTTCCAAGTGATTAACAATCCCTCCTAATCCCCGGTCCAGAACGATCCCTACTTGCACCTATACTACAATTGTCAAAAAGAGGGTTTAATTTGTGTGCGTATAATTCACGCATCAAGGATCCTAAATGGGCTGCTGCAATGGATGAGGAAATGATGGCACTACATAAGAATGATACATGGGAGGTAATGGAGCTACCTAAAGGAAAGAAACTGGTTGGGTGTAGATGGGTCCTTAATATTAAATACAAGGCAGACGGACCGGTAGACAAGTATAAAGCAAGGTTAGTAGCAAAGGGTTATACTCAAACTTATGGTGTTGATTATCAGGATACATTTTCTCTAGTAATGAAGATGAAGTACGAGTTATGATTTCTTTAGCTACAAATTTGAATTGGCCACTGAAACAGTTTGATGTGAAAAATATTTTTCTTCATGGGCACTTGGAAGAAGAAGTATATATGGATTTTCCTCCGGGGTACAATGCCGAAGGGAAAATCAGAGTATGTAGGTTGCAAAAGTCACTTTACGGACTTAAGCAATCACCTCATGCATGATTTGGTAGATTTACTCAAGTTATGAGGAGGATTGGGGATTATCAAAGTCACTCAAATCATACATTATTTGTGAAACGGGGAAGTGGTAAAGTGACAGCCTTAATTATTTATGTGGATGACATGATAATAATAGGTGATGATATGGAAGAGATGATGAAGCTAGAACAAAACCTTGCCGCCGAGTTCAAGATGAAGAATTTTGGATATGTGAAATATTTTCTTAGCATGGAAGTTGCTCGATCATCTAGAGGTATTTTCTTGTCTCAACGTAAATATGTTCTGGATTTATTAAAGGAAACATGCATGCTGGGATGTAAGCTTGTGGACACTCCTATCGTAGAGAAACATTATTTGGGGATTTATCCGGATCAGGAACCAGTTGACAGAGCTAGATATCAAAAACTAGTGGGGAGGCTGATTTATCTATCTCACACTCATCCAAATATTGCCTATGCCGTAAGTGTGGTTAGTCAATTTGTGCATTCACCAAGTGTGGATCAGATGGCGGCAGTAATGAGAATCTTGGCATATTTGAAGTTTGATCCGGGTAAAGGAATTTTGTATGAATGTCATGGATATATGAGGATTGAGGGATTTACGGATGCTGATTGGGCAGGTGATGTGACTGATAGAAGATCTACATCTGGGTATTTTACATTTGTTGGAGGTAATTTGGTTACATGGCGGAGTAAGAAGCAGAATGTGGTATCACGGTCTTCTGCCGAAGACGAGTATAGGGGTATGGCACATGGTGTGTGTGAGATTCTTTGGCTACGAAAGTTACTTTAGAGTCTTGGTTTTAAACAGAAGGAGGCAATGAAGTTTTATTGTGATAATAAGTTTGCTAGAGAAATAGCCAAGAATCCAGTACATCATGACAGGACTAAGCATGTTGAGGTTGATAGACATTTTATCAAAGAAAAGCTAGAGAAGAAGATTGTGTCAATACCATTTGTGAACTCAAAAGAACAATTTGCAGATATCCTTACCCATGTCATGTGTAGTAGAAGATTCGGTGATTTGCTTGTCCAGTTGGGCATGAGTAATATCTATGCTCCAACATGAGGGGGAGTATTGGAATAAGTCAATATTTAGGAGAAAAGGAATGTAAATATTTTGTAATTATTAGAGTCATGTTTTAGGAAGGATATTGTGTCCTTTATTTTTGTTTCCTTTTGTAACAAGGACTGTATGTACCTTTTATTCATAATTATGGAATATAGGAAAATTAAGCCGTAAAATTCTATTAGGTCATTATTGTGGTCGAAATGGAGAAGTGGTGCTTTGACTTGAAGCTTTGTTTGTATTCAGATAAGGTAGGAGAGAGGGAAACAAAAGAGGAAAAAGGGAAACAAAGGATAAAAAGAAAAGTTCAATCTCAACCGCACGATCTCATTAAAAGAAATCGGATGGCAGCCCGCATCATCCCCATTTTTTGGCTGAAATGAGGATCCCTCTCCTTGAAATACAAGTCTCCTGAGTACACTTAGGGTGTGTTTACTAATTCGTAATCAAATTGAGAGGAATTGAATTGATGAGGAATTCGATTGTGAGGAATTGAAATGGGGTGGAATCAAAATCAGATTCCTGTTGAAGTTGTTTACTAAAATTGTCTGGAATTGAAGTAGGAATAGAAACTGTCAGAATTATCGTTGGCCACGTGTCCAAATCTGGGTTGTTGAATTTTAGTCTTTTTCAAATCCAATGGTCCAGATTAATGAACATAATAAAAATTATTAAAAAATTATTAAAAATTGTCTTAGAATACAGAAAAAATAAAACAAAAATTTATAATTTTTTTCTATAAATACCTAACCATCATCTTCCACCTTACACCGCATTTCAATATTTTCAACACTTTCAACCCAAGCTTTCGTATACTTTTGTGTGCAAAAAATGGCTACTTGGACGGTCATCGAAGATGTTACTTTGTGTGATTGCTGGGTTCAAATTACTCATTACCCGATTACGGGTAATGAGATGCAGTTACGAGAACTGTGGACTAGAATTACTAAGCGTTTTGCGAGACGCTTGAAAAAGATGCAAGACAGCTTAAGTGCATGTATGGTCATTGCATTGAAGTGTATTGATCAATGATTAATTGATTGTAACATCCATCCCTTTCCAATGTCTCGTGTTGCACGGGATCTTTGGTGCGATCATAAGCACAATATATACGTGATCTGGAATTGTTCAGGGTGTCCGGCTCATATTCATTGATGACATCATAATCATACTCATCTTCCACAATCATGTTGTGGAGAATGATACACATCATCATGATGGATCGAAGAGCCTCGACATCAAACATTTTGGTAGCAGTCTTGACAATCGCCCAACGAGCTTGTAGGATACCAAAACAACACTCCACATCTTTCCTACACCTCTCTTGACATTTTACGAAGTGTTTTTCTTTTTCACTTTGTGGATGTGGCATTGTTTTGACAAACGTTGTCCACATTTGGTAAATGCAGTCTGTTAGGTAGTATGCTCCTTCGTATTTATGTTCATTGACCCAAATCCATGTATCAGATGAAGTCACCGCTTCCAAAATGATACTTTTGGCTCATTTTCTGTCGCCATAAGCTTCTTGCCACGTGACACACCCTGACCGAGATCAAGGCATGCTGGCCGTCACGTGGAAATGACGTAACCATGTGCATAGTGCGGAAGCTAATAAATAATAATAAGAATATGAATAAATACAAACCTAGCTATACACAAGGTAATAACATACATGTGCAAGCGTAAGTGTGAAAAACAAAGTTCAGAGCACAGAAGACCTAGTGCAATCCGGGAGAAACAACACTAAATAAACACACCCAAAGGTGGTCCTACACTGGTGATAATCTGTCAGATAAGCCGGGAAATCCTCTGGGGAGCCACCAAAAGTGCTAGCCAAACTAGAACCTGGAGGGGCGCAAAACAGAAAGCGTGAGTGGGCAAAAACAAAGCTTTTCAAAAATCATTTCATAAACGAAGTTCTAACCCCTCGCCGTAAAACCTGTATACTTCCCAGAAAAATAGAATACATATATATATATAAGTCATGCTCAGAAATATGCCATGTCAAATGCCTCTAAATAAAATGCAAGTACTCAGGTAATGCCAAACCATGCCATGTAATCTGTCAGCCAAAGTCACCTAACGTGACCTGTACGGTTGAATCTAGAGCTCAAATCCACAACTCGCTAACTATACCTGCACACGAGTCGGAACCACCTAAAGTGGTCTGTACGACAGGACTGGGTGTAAAATAAGTACGCTCAAGTGCTACGATCACGTGAAGACTGGGCGAATAATCGCGGATCACCTACGAGTTGGAACTACCTAAAGTGGTCTGTACGACAGGACTGTGCACCTAACTTGGATCCAAGATGAGCGTGTGGTGCGGGAGGTGAACATCACGTGAAGGACTATGCCCAACTCTGGGCGGGAGCACTAACACGGGGGGTGCAGGTTATGAGCTCTCTATGCATCTCAAATCACTACTAAATATAAATATAAACCATAACTTACCTAGCACTTACCTGTGCGTCCGCAGCACCAACATACATATATATATATATGCAACTAATAATGCATAATCAAATGGCAAACATAATGCATGGCATATAAACGTATAAACGTTTCATTTCACTTTCTGGGAAAAACACAAGTATATAGGTATATACAGAAAACCAAAAGCCCACTCACTGGTATGTAGAAGGGTCGTAACCCCCTTGCCTCGAGTGATTGCGCTCGTCCTCAGGATAGGTCTCACCTATATGCGAAACAACTATAAAAACGTTAATTTTAAAGCACAAAACCAACATTACGAAATAACTTCTCATACAATGCTCAAATGAAGTGTATGAATACACCAACGTGATCTACTCAACCTCACGAACATCCCCATATTTTTAAAATAATTTTCCGATACCGCACGCGCCCCCACGCGCTGGCCAAGGCACGGCCACACATGCCGCCCACGCGCAGGCACGTGCCTGGCACACTAACGGCGTTAGTTAACGCAGTCAGGAATATTCCGTTAAATCTAACTGATTCTGTTAACGCCGTTAGGAATATTCCGTCCAAATTGACGGAATACTCCGTCATCTTCTCCGGCCAACCTCCGGCGCCGTCGCAGGCGACGGAAAATCAGGAAAAATTCAAAACTTGATATCTCCTTCATTTTTCATCCAAATTTCACAAAATTGGTACCAAAATGAAGCTTACAACAATAGGAACAAATCCATACCACTTTCAAGCACCAAAACCCACGGAATCTCGTCGGGAAAACACCACCAACTTCGGCCAAACCTGCAACTCACGATCCCGAAGTCCAAAACCTTCAAACGAACCACCCCGAGCCTCCTAAGAACTTCACCAAGCTTCCTACAAGCTTGAAATTCCCAAAAACATAAGAATTAACGTGTGCATGAACAGTGACCAAATCGGGGATCTCGAGTTCGACGTGAAAACGAAGGTATCCTTACCTGAAATGGGTATGGTTGAACTCCTAAAGATCTCACGAGCACAAATATATGGTTTATTTCCTCGATCCGTCACGATTCCAAGGGTTTGTGGTGTTGTCCGTACGAAAAGGATAGGAAAGGGAGAGAGAGAGGGTCTTAGGACAGAGCAGAGAGAGAGAGAAATGAGTGTGGGTATGTGTGTGGTCCAAAATCAACCAACCAAAACCCAAAAATGACCAGACAACGAAACAAACATACTATGGGCAAAACCGTCATTTCACCCCTACGGTACGAAAAGTCTGGGACGGGCTGTCACAACCTACCTACCTTAATAAAATTTCATCCCGAAATTCAAAACAACCACTCACAGCAACCATTAGTGATCAAAGAACAATCGAGGATACAAATCTCTTATCCGATCTTCAGTTTCCCAAGTAGCCTCCTCCACAGAATGATTCCTCCACAAAACTTTCACCAAATTCACTGTCTTGTTCCTCAGAATCTTTTCTTTCCAATCCAGAATCGTCACTGGTTCCTCATCATAAGTGAAATCGGGATTAATTTCCAAGGGTTGAGGAGGTATCACATAAGACGGATCCGCAACATAATGTCGAAGCATGGACACGTGAAAAACTTTATGTACTTTAGCTAGCTCAGGAGGCAACTCTAGCCTGTAAGCTACCTCACCAACTCGCTCAGTGATCATGTATAGTCCGATATACCTGGGACTCAGCTTACCTTTCTTTCCAAACCGTATAACGCCTCTCCATGGTGAAAGCTTCAGAAATACCCAATCGCCAACCTTATACACTCTGTCAGTAACATGCCGGTCTGCTAAACTCTTTTGCCGATCTTGGGCTGCCTTCAGGTTAGACTTGATTACCTGAACATTTTGAGTAGTCTCCTCAACAATCTCCGGGCCCACCAAAACTCTTTCTCCGACCTCTGACCAACACAAGGGTGTGCGACAAGATCTACCATACAACGCCTCAAATAGTGTCATGCCGATACTCGAATGAAAACTGTTGTTGTAGGAAAATTCCATTAAATCTAATCGCTTGTGCCAAGCATCACCAAACTGTAACACCGAAGATCTCAACATATCCTCCAACGTCTGAATGGTTCTCTCTGACTGTCCGTCCGTATGAGGATGATATGCTGTACTATAAAGTAACTTCGTACCTAAGCTTCCTGAAAAGCTACCCTAAATTTAGAAGTAAATCTTGGGTCACGATCCGAGACGATACTCACAGGGACACCATGGTACTTCACGATCTTTGAGATGAATAACTCAGCTAATCGGCCCAAAGAATACTTCTCCCTCACTGGAAT